AGAGAGGAACGCACAAATAGGTGAGGGACCTTATCCAGAGAAGCAGCAGTGCCAGAGATGGAGGCAGAGATGGGGGCATGGAGAGGGGGAGCGGCTGAGGACTCTAGATTCATCAACTAAGAAGAGAAGGACTAAGAACTGGTGGCTAGGAGCAGACTTGCAGAATGTGCCCTTTGGAGATGTAAAGTATTATATATGCCTGAGTGGGTTTTTTTGTTTGTGTGTTTTTTAAAAAAGCTAAAGTGGATAGAAATACTTTTAACTGATGGTATATGGGGGGGGAGATTATAATCAATGTAATGAAACAAGTTATATGAATGGTTGAATATGAAACTGATGATGTGCCCTGTAAACTTTCACTCAATTCACAATAAAAACCTTAAATTAAAAAAAAAAAAAAGTACACTAACAATATATAAGAGAGCTTCAAAAGTTGTTGGAAAAATGGAATTAAAAGATAATGAAATTTTCCCATGAATGTTTCAAAGCCCCTAATATTTGCAAGTGTTATTAGCGTAGTTATCATAGTGAGATCATATTGAGGGAAGAATAATTTTTCATTTAAATATTTCATTTAAAAATGTTTATATTCAATATAATCGCTTTATAAGGTCAACTTCATGTATTCTGGATTTCATTTGTATACGTTGTAGTTAAGTGCTCTCAAGTCAGTTCTGACTCATAGAGACCCTGTACAGGGTTTTCAAAGAGTAGCTGTTAGGTTTGAACAGTCAACCTTATAGTTAGCAGCCCGGTGATTATCCTACAGTGCCCCACCAGGAGACATTGTTGTTAAGTGCTGTCAAGTTGCTCATAGTGACCCTGTATAGGGTTTCCAAGGAGTCCTGGTGAGTTTGAACTACTGACCCTGTGGTTCAAACTGACCCTGTGTTCCGGTGCTTTGTCCCACAGCACCACACCAGGACACTCCATGGAGTTGTCTGGGGAACTTAAGTTCACGTGTAAATGTGGTTCTAGTAATGTCCTCCTGCAGAAACCCCTCTTTGTGTGGCTCTGACTTTTAAAGACGCCCTTCATAGCTAGAGTCCCTATGGCTTTCCAAAGAAGGCCTCTGAATTCTGTGCCTTGTGCTCTTCCACACAAGTGCAAATTTTCCTTCCACTTGACAACTCTTCAAAAACATTCATATAACTAGCGTGTCCACCCGGAAGATTCTCTTTTCCATGGTCAATTGGCCCCCTCCCTCACTCCAAACTAGGTTAGTTCATCTGATTCCTTTCCGTCACAGTGCTCGCTACCATTGGTAATGACACATTTATTTCACGTGGGTAGTTAATGCGTCTCCCACACTGAGTGATGATCAGCTCTGTAAGGGATGCAGGATTGAATCACGTTTCGTATCACTGTGACGCTAACACTTAGCACCACCCTTCCATAGAACAGAGGTGTGTTGAATGTTTGTTGAATACCAGCGAAAACAAAGCTGTTTTTATGACATTAAGTTATTCGCTATACTTAAAGGACAGTGAGTTACTTTAGCCTCCGTTCTTTCTGCTTTAGCTTCTCAATTGCCTCCACGTGCTCTTTGGGAACAGATTCGATGAGATCACTCAATTCTACCAGGCGAGACTCCACTTTTACCAGCTTTTGAACTGGGTTGAGACTGCCAACCTCAGCTTCTCCTATGCAGACTCTGTATACTTGATTGATTTTTTTATTGAGAGAGTCTATCAGTTGTTCCTGAGATTGAGAAGAAAAAGACAGGCTGAAAACTTGACATCACATCACTAACTGGTTACTTTTTCAACCAGTGTAAAATGCCATTTTACCATCTTATAATGAAAAGCTATTTATGTATGTTACTAAGGGTTTCCTGTGAAAAGGAATACTTTTAATGCTATATAATAGAACAGTTAGAAAATATAGCAGTGAGATTTAATATACAACAATTTATAGTCAGATGATTACTATAGTTACACTTTGAATTCTTTTCATAAAATGATACTTTTCAGTCTAGACATAAAATATAATTATAACCAGACAGAATACATCCTTTTGGTTGAATTTTGTGTGTATGCTCGATTCCCTGAGCATTTGAGCAGAGACAACATTTATTGTTGTTAAATGCCATCGAGTCAGTTCTGACTCACAGTGACTCTGTATAGGGTTTCAAAGGAGCAGCTGGTGGGTTTGAACCACTGACCTTATAGTTAGCAGTCCCGTGTTTATCTACCAGTGCCACATCAGGGCCCCTAGGAGACGACATGCTGCTGTTGTTAAAGTGCTGTCCAGTCGGTTCTGACTCATAGCCACCCTGTATAGGGATACCTGGTGAGTTTGAACTGGTGACCGTGCAGTCTAGCTCATTATTCCACAGCACCACACCAGGACTCCAACACCTTAAACCCTTGTTTGCCACTCTGATTCACTCCCTTATAGAATAGTACCTGAATCTCTCTGCATTGTATCAGTAAAGCTATAGTCATCCTGTATGAGAATTATGCCTTCTTGGCTAAGCACCTGGAAGGCAGGAATTTCTTCTTATTCGTACACTTTTAAATCTAAAACAATGCCTTACATGTAACTATGCACTTAGTAAATGCTGAATTAGTGGTTGGAAGCATTTTCCCAGAGTTGCGGAGAAAGTTTCATGCAAACAGATTTCCAGGCTGGCCTACAATTTTCACTCTTTGGACTGGGAAACCACTGCAGTGTTTTGAAGTCGTCCTCTCTAATGAAGAAAACACAGATTTAGGTCAAATCTCACTGCCAGCTACAGGGCTGTTTTAACATTAGCGACCCTGCAGCTGGTAGGTAACAGTTTGAGAGCATAAGAAAGACAAGTCCTCCTCTCTTCCTAGAGTCCAGTTCTCGCAGTTGAAAAGAGCTCAGTAAACCAAAGACACTGGAGACAGCTGTGAGTCCTGGCGCTAACAGAACTCCGGCTAGAACCACAAATCCCCGCAGAACCACGGACACTCAAACAAAGATTGGATACCCAGGGTTTTCTTCTAATAGTCTCTCATCTCCTACTAACAGGCTGTTCCATGGTCTTATTTACTTACTATAAAGGCCTCACCTTTCTGCCTCACTAAAGTAACATTTGGAGTCCTGGTGGTGCCGTAGATTAAGCATTGGGCTGTTAACAGCAAGGTCATCTGTTCAAACCCACTAGCAACTCCTTGGGAGAACCATGAGGCTGGTTGCTCCCGTAGAGCTGTATTAAACCCAGAGCAGGTCTGCTGTGTCCTATAGGGTTGAGTCGGAATCAACTCCATGACAGTGGGTTGTTGTTCTGTTTTTAAAGTAGCAAAAGGAAGTAGAGTTTCGGCTTCAACAGCAGGCAGGTTTATTGAGAGTAAACCTGGGAGCGGGTACTCTTATGTCACCAAAGGAGACCAAGAACCCGTTTGTTCCCTGACAGACTGGACTATTTATAGTCCGTGTGGTCTGGGTATAGTTCTGGCGAGTTTACAATGGGCGAGGGTATGGAGATTTTCCTGAAACCTGGAATTTCAGTGGGGAGAGGGTCTCCAGATGTAACAAAGTGCCAAGCTTTCCGGGAGATCGGAAGCTCAAGCCGGCCCATTCAGTGTCATTTGGGGTAGTTGTAATGCCATTCTGTTGATCAGGGGAAAGGTCCTTCATTAACAAAGGAGCTCTAGTAGCGTAGTGGTTACGAACCACAAGGTCAGCAGTTTGAAACTACCAGCTGTTCCGTGGGAGAAAGATGAGGCTTTTTACTCCCGTAAAGATTTACAGCCCCGGAAACCCTATACGGGGTCTCTATGAGTCAGAACTGACTCTGCGGCAATCAACAACACATTCCTTTTAGACAATTGGGAGAAACAGAGAGAGAAGACAAACAGTCAAAGCTACCTTATCAAAGGGCTGGAATACTACACGTGGGATAGGAGACAACAATACTGCTGCAACATGGAATAATGCAGAAAAAAAAAAATTCCACCCCCTCAAAAAATGTAATGAACACTGGTTTGAGAAAAAGCAGCTTTACTATGAGACTGTGATGGAAATTCTTGAAGGAAACTTCTGAACACTGAAAGCTTTACAGATGGATGGCAGTGGTCTTTAGTTAAGATGACAAAGGACAGGGTAAGACTCAGGAGAGGGGAATGAGGCTGAAGAAGGCAATCATACATGAAAAGAGATTCAGGGCCTGACCCAAAACGAAAAAAGGACAGTCAATTCCAGGGACTGCCACCAGATGGCAGGCCCAGCCCCTCGCCCCTCAGAGGAGCAGTGCAATGGCGGAGGCACTCTGGTTCCATTTATAAAAAGTTCAGAACTAGGAAAGCTGATTGCTGGTCAGGCTAGTGTTCCCTCTGAGGGATGGTGGAGACTTCTGGGTGCTGGTACTGTTATAATCTCTGGTTTGGAATATGTGTATAAGAGCACGTTCATGTTGAAAAATTTGCTTGAGATACAAACTCATAATGTGCATCCTTTTCATTATAATAGTACATTAAACCTGTTCAAAGCCTTATTTTAAAAATATGATACTGAATCAAAGACAAATGTTTTTAGGTGCAGTTGTTGTACCTAAATTAAGCACAGTTGTTGTTACTGTTAAGTACTGTCGAGTCGATTCTGACTCATAGTAACCCTATAGTTGTTAAGAGCCATCGATTGGGTTTCGACCCATAGCGACCCTGTATAGGGTTTCCTATGAGCAACTGGTGAGCTTGAACCACCGATCTTGCAGTTAAAGCGGCTTTGCAGTCTGGTGCGTTAACCCACACCAGGACTCCAGCAACCCTATTACTCTTGTGAAAATTTTGAAAGAATAAAATGCTCATTTTACAATTACCGTTGTGTTGTTTCTGATGTTAGGAGCAGTTGAGTCAGTTCCGACTCATAGCGACCTCATATACAACAGAACAATTCACTGTCCAATCCTGTGCCATGCTCACATTTGTTGTGTTTGAACCCATGGTTGCTGCCACTGTGTCAATCCATCTCGTTAGCTTTACATTCATCCATGGTTACAATCCCCTCCATGCAGCATCAACCAACCAAAGGGTACATCCTACAAGTCTGCCCTCCCCCCTCACCTCGTCATCAGCACACAACCCCTCTCCCTCTCTGTGTCTAGAGTTCCCAGCTGCTCCATCTCTCCATGTTATCGTCTCTGCCTCCATCTCTGGCATCACTGTTTCTCTGGGTAGGGTCCTGCACTCCACTCTTCTCCCTTGATGGTCCCAGGGGCCTCTGCTCCTGGCCTGCAAAGTCAACCACTTCCTTCCTTTTGCTGCAAAACGTCTACCTTTACATTTCCAACCCTCACGTTCAGTCCTGATAGTAATTATTCACTACTGTACCACATGAGTGCTAGCCACATTTCCTTTCATCAGCCCCACCCAGACAGATTGGATACTACTCACTGGAGATTCTACCATCCTCCATGCCCTCTGGATCTACGTTGCCTCTTGAAAGCTTGTAAGCCAGTCGCTTCTTACCTTTGTAGCCCCCCGATTTTGGGTAGCCAATGTCCAAGTTGCCCATCCCTGTCTACCCTGTGTATTGAGGGGGTGGGAATGTTCCTTGCTGTAAAGATTTGTTCCCTCTTTTGAGCTACTGCATCCATAGGTGTAGGTCAAGTTCATCAAACTGTATCCGATTACTCTTTTTCCTCTTCTTTCTAGTTGAGCTCTGATTATCCAGTCATTGAAACCAGGTCAAGTGGGTATTATCTGCAAGTGTGGGTGTTCTTGTGCATTTGCCCTCTCTTCTTACCAGCTGGACGCTTCACTCTCCACTCTAGTCCTCTGCGGCTATGTCATGGACCGTCTTTTAATGTGACTTTCAGACCAATTTTGCTTTCTCTCTTTAGAGGATGGGGTGGCATCAAGGCTTGTTGTTGTTAAAGTGCCATCGAGTCAGTTCCAACTCATAGTGTGCCTGTATAGGGTTTCTGAGGAGCAGCTGGTGAGCTTAAACTGCCGACCTTGAATTCAAACCAACCTTTCAGTCCAGTGTGATAGCCCACAGTGCCATATCAGGCTTTTGTCGTTGTTAAGTGCCATCGAGTCAATTCCGACCCATAGTGACCCTGTATATAGGGTTTCCAGGGAGAAGCTGGTGAGCTTGAACCACATCAGGCTTAAGAGTGTTGAAATTGCCACTTTTTTTCATAATTGTCATCAGCTTGCATAAAGGGGCTTGAGTGGACAGCTAGCCCTCTGATTTAGTAGCCATCTTGTGCATCAGTCAGCTTCAGAACTATTTCAGCTTTCAAGAACTGAAAGGTTCATCTTTATCTTTGAAGAACCGAAAGGGTATCAATTCTTGTGTGCGTGGCTCATGCCCTCCCTCCTGAGGGCAGGATCCCAGTCTAGGAAACGTGTGTGGGAAGGAGCTGTATACAGTGTCTTGCTTCTGTAACCCTGTTCATCTATGAGACAATCATCTTCTGGTGGTGTTCCCCAAATCTACACTGATGGAAAAGTAAGTCTAAAGCCCTAAATGGGAGACTGTTATTTTTGTTGTTACATGTTGTCGAGTCGGTTCTGACTCATAGCGATCCTGTCTAGGGTTTCTGGGGGGCCGCTGGTGGGTTAGAACCACCGACCTTGTGGTTAGCCATCCAGTGCTTATCATACATTGCCACACCAGGACTACACATTTTAGTTTTGAACTTTTGTTACATTTGAGGTTTTTATAAAGAGCTGGAGCTTAAAGTTTACCTAAAAGCAAATCTAATAATTCATTTAATAAACATT